TTGGCATCTCCATTTGGATGCCTTATGGGTGTCTCAGACCTAAAATATGCTTAACACGGAAAGAACTCTCGATTCCTCCCCATCTCAAAGTGCTTCCCCCGTTCCCCTCCCCCCGCCAAATGCTGTTGTCCTTGCTTTCTCTCTTCTCCCCTCCCATCTAATCCATTGGCAAGTACTGTCAGCACTGCTTCCAGCACATGCCTGACTCTCCAGTGCCAGAGCCATGACTGTCACCTCTTGTCATGACCACTGCAATGGCATGCAGTTGAGTCCCTGGTTTCTATTCTTGCTCCTCTATAACCCATGTTTGATGTGGCCTAGCCCAACTGGCCTTCCCTCTTTTCCTTGTAACTGCCAAGCCTGTCCCTGCCCTGGGGCCTCTGCACTTGTTATTCTTTTGCTGGGATGTGTTTCCCACACTGTCCACTCGTCACATCTCCTCAGACCTGATCACCATCTGTAAAGTAATCCTGCATTTCATGACTGGATTCAGGTCCTGCCTCTGCTCTGTTAGCTGTGTGGCTTCAGCAAAGTGTCTCAAGTTCCTCATCTTTCACAGTGAGATGATAGCACCTACCTCGTAGGGATGGTACAGTGGCTGCAGAGGGCTTGATAGTGCCCAGAGTCTAGTAAACCCTCGGGAGACTCTTTTCTGTTCTTTACACCAGGCTGTTACTGACCGAGCAGTGGAGACTCAGAGACAGTGTTCAGTGTTGGGTTAGTTTCCCTACTGAAAACAGTGACACATCCATTGAACAGCAATGGCTGAGAGCTAATCCTGCTGATGTAAAAGATCATAGAATTGCAGTAGCTAGAATGAAAGGAGAATAAGGAAAGAGCAATATGGTAAGAAGAAAAGGCGTAGTGAAATTTACAACAGGAATTAGAATTGGTGATCGGTTTGCTAAGTAGAAAATCTGAAATGAGTCAGGTTCATATAATATCTACATAATAGGCCTACGTGATTCAGTAACACCTGCAAGCATCTCCATGCCACAGCAGAGGCAGCCTTCTTGCAGTTTAGAGGGAAATTCAGTAGCAGTAAAAATAGTAATGTTATTATTACTGTAATGATGACAGCAGTAATAACAACACCTAAACAGTCATCATGGGCCAGACCTATTTCTAAGTGCTGTTATCTTGAGAACAGTGCTATAGATAATTGTTCTCATTTTATGCAAGGAGGAATCTTAGGCACAGAGTAGTTAACTAATTAGCCCACAGTCATGCTGCTGGTGCGGAAGAGGCTAAATCCAGAGACACACATTCCAGACGTCATGGTCACAGTCCTAGTCACAGTCCTAATCATCGTGCCACAGAGTACAGCTAAGTCCAGCTCACTCAGGTTCTTTAGGATATTATGCAAAGGAAATACTCTGCTGGAAGCCATGTCAAGTTACCTTTGGGGTAATTTTTAAGCACACTAACAATCTAAACCACATTGTGGTTGAATGATGCAGCCTGTCCAACGTCTACACGAAAGAAACAGAAAAGCTCAGTATATCATAGAAGTTAATCTCAGAAAAGAAAATGGGCATCTTTGCATAACTTAAAGGCTAAATATAGGAATGTTTGGATGCACAGTGTAATCCAGGTAAATCTGTAACCTAGCATATGATTTAGGTACCTGGCTAGCTATTCTTTTCTGTAAAACATTTGAGTAACGTTTAAAGTTGTTACATGGAATTTTATGTCAATTCTCAGTAAATGGTCATAGTCTGATCTTTTCTCTGACCCAGTGATAACTAAAAAGGCAAATGTATTAATAATTATGAATT